TCTGCTTTCAAAGGGCTTTATTCAATGGAAACTCTCCTGAAAAACCTTTATTCCTCTGTCAAACAGATGCATGCATTATGACTGGCAAAGAGCCGTCCCAGTTCATGCAGTTTCTCTTGACATGACTTTAGTTTAGCTGACATAATCTAGATTACACTGTTTCAGTGAACCATTTTGTTTAAAATGTCCACTGTTTTCAACACCTCTCTTCATATATATATATATACACACACACATGTGGAGATACTTGACTTTTTCTAAATATTGTTAATCTTCATAACTTCAAATTTGAAGGAATATTAGCTGTAGGTTATACTAACATGTTTGACAAAATAACCAAGGCATTTCAACAAAAGACTTTCTTTTGTGGAAAACACAGCGATCAGAATTAGAGAACAGTAACCACTGTAGCATGAAAGAAGATTAAAACTACAACTTTGGAGGGTTACAGCTGTCAGAAATGATTAGGAACTGTAGAGGCCCTTGCTTTGAATGACTTCAGCACATCTGCGGCCGCAGGACATCAGTAGTTTCTCAGACTGCGCTGCTGTGATCTTGGTCCACTCTTCTTCCTTGTCTCTTCCATAGTTTGGTGACTGTAGTGGGTTTCTTAGCAATACTTCGTTACCAAGGATCTTCCAGAGATTTTCAGTTGGGATTAGATCTCTGGGCTGGCCATTTCATTATTTCATTTCAATGTTCTTAGCTTCAAGGAACTGCTTTACCCATTTTGCATTGTTTTGCATGAAAATTGCCGGCTGATTGGGAGATGCTTGCAGGGATGGTAGTACCGCATGTTGCTGAAGGAGGTTTTGATAAACATTTGCATTCACTTTGCCATGTATCTGTATAAGAGGCCCAACTCCTGCTGCAGAAAACATCCCCCAAACCATAATACTTCCTCCTCCACCTTTCATTGAATTCCCATCGGACCCAAACCAATTAAACTTGCTCTCATCACTAAAGTGAACTTTGGACCAGTTCTTCTCTCTCCACACAACATGCTCCTCAGCAAAGGTGAGCCTATCCTTTTGATTCTTTCTGTTGATGAAAGGTCACTTGGTCACTGCAGAGTGTGCTTTCAGTCTCACTTCTCCTAAATGTGCCCTTACCCTGTTCATTGCTGAACTGGCGAGCAATTCCAGCTGCAGTGTTGAACCAATTCCCCATTGAGAGTCTCTGCATTATCCTGTCTTCTCGTGTATTTGTCTTACGTGGATGACCAGCCTTTTTGGGGGACTTGAATGAATTAGTGTCATTGTAAAGCTACAATATTCTAGAAATCTATTCTAGATTTGGAACGACCAGCTTCTCGTGCAGTGACTGAAAACATCATCCCTTTGGCTTTCATCTGGGCCGCCTCCTGTCCCAGGGTCTCAGTCACTTTAGCGGCCCACCATCTTGCAAACTCAGTGAAAATTAGAGGAATGCTGCCAATTATCACATAATTAAGGAAATTAGCTGAGGTATCTGTAATTGTTCTCTAATCTTGATCAGTGTTTCTTTTTTAAATATCTAATTTAAGTATTTTTTAGAAAAATTAAAAAATATTTATAGATTATCTCATTTTGATATCCACTGTGTGTGTATATATATATATATATATATGTCTTCATGGGAACAGATTTGGAGAAATTTAGCATTTCATCTTAATCTTCATAACTTCAAATTTGAAGGAATATTAGCTGTAGGTTATACTAACATGTTTGACAAAATAACCAAGGCATTTCAACAAAAGACTTTCTTTTGTGGAAAACACAGCAATCAGAATTAGAGAACAGTAACCACTGTAGCATGAAAGAAGATTAAAACTACAACTTTGGAGGGTTACAGCTGTCAGAAATGATTAGGAACTGTAGAGGCCCTTGCTTTGAATGACTTCAGCACATCTGCGGCCGCAGGACATCAGTAGTTTCTCAGACTGCGCTGCTGTGATCTTGGTCCACTCTTCTTCCTTGTCTCTTCCATAGTTTGGTGACTGTAGTGGGTTTCTTAGCAATACTTCGTTACCAAGGATCTTCCAGAGATTTTCAGTTGGGATTAGATCTCTGGGCTGGCCATTTCATTATTTCATTTCAATGTTCTTAGCTTCAAGGAACTGCTTTACCCATTTTGCATTGTTTTGCATGAAAATTGCCGGCTGATTGGGAGATGCTTGCAGGGATGGTAGTACCGCATGTTGCTGAAGGAGGTTTTGATAAACATTTGCATTCACTTTGCCATGTATCTGTATAAGAGGCCCAACTCCTGCTGCAGAAAACATCCCCCAAACCATAATACTTCCTCCTCCACCTTTCATTGAATTCCCATCGGACCCAAACCAATTAAACTTGCTCTCATCACTAAAGTGAACTTTGGACCAGTTCTTCTCTCTCCACACAACATGCTCCTCAGCAAAGGTGAGCCTATCCTTTTGATTCTTTCTGTTGATGAAAGGTCACTTGGTCACTGCAGAGTGTGCTTTCAGTCTCACTTCTCCTAAATGTGCCCTTACCCTGTTCATTGCTGAACTGGCGAGCAATTCCAGCTGCAGTGTTGAACCAATTCCCCATTGAGAGTCTCTGCATTATCCTGTCTTCTCGTGTATTTGTCTTACGTGGATGACCAGCCTTTTTGGGGGACTTGAATGAATTAGTGTCATTGTAAAGCTACAATATTCTAGAAATCTATTCTAGATTTGGAACGACCAGCTTCTCGTGCAGTGACTGAAAACATCATCCCTTTGGCTTTCATCTGGGCCGCCTCCTGTCCCAGGGTCTCAGTCACTTTAGCGGCCCACCATCTTGCAAACTCAGTGAAAATTAGAGGAATGCTGCCAATTATCACATAATTAAGGAAATTAGCTGAGGTATCTGTAATTGTTCTCTAATCTTGATCAGTGTTTCTTTTTTAAATATCTAATTTAAGTATTTTTTAGAAAAATTAAAAAATATTTATAGATTATCTCATTTTGATATCCACTGTGTGTGTATATATATATATATATATATGTCTTCATGGGAACAGATTTGGAGAAATTTAGCATTTCATCACTGGCTCACCAATGGATCCTCTGCAGTGAATGGGTGCCGTCAGAATGAGAGTCCAAACAGCTGATAAAAACATCACAATAATCCAGAAGTAATGTAAATAATATGTACAATAGTGTAATTAGATTGCTGTACTAAATACTCTCTCTAAAACGTATTGCATTACTTATTATTACTAATTACTTTCTAATTCCCATTTTAACCTTGACCAGTTGAACAATACAGTGATAAACATGAAACTTCTCTTTTAATTCTTTCAAATAAATAATATTAAATTTCATAAATTGTTCTTGAACTGTCAAAGTATTTAAAGGGAGAAGGTTACATTAAAAACATAAATTTTTACATTATATGCAAAATTTTGATGTTAAATCTTCTATTGTTATATATATATATAAAGGTCCTGGAGTGGCCTAGCCAGTCTCCAGACCTGAACCCAATAGAAAATCTATGGAGGGAGCTGAAACTCCGTGTTGCCCAGCGACAGCCCCAAAACCTGAAAGATCTGGAGAACACCTGTATGGAGGAGTGGGCCAAAATCCCTGCTGCAGTGTGTGCAAACCTGGTCAAGAACTACAGGAAGCGTCTGACCTCTGTAATTGTAAACAAAGGTTTCTGTACCAAATATTAAGTTCTATTTTTCTATTGTATCAAATACTTATTTCATGCAATAAAATGGAAATTAATTATTTAAAAAATCATACAATGTGATTTTCTGGATTTTTTTTTTATTCGGTCTCTCACAGTTGATGTGTACCTATGATGAAAATTACAGATCTCTCCATTCTTTGTAAGTGGGAAAACTTGAAAAATCGGCAGTGTATCAAATACTTATTTGCCCCACTGTATATATATAATATATATACATACATACATACACACACTCACGTGGCCAGAATTGTTGGCACCCTTGGTAAATATGATCAAAGAAGTCTGTGAAAATAAATCTGCATTCATCCTTTTGATCTTTTATTTAAAAAAAATCACAAAAATCTAACCTTTCATTGGAGAATAAGAATTTTAAATGGGGGGGAAATATTATGAAATGTTTTTTTTTCTAATACACATTGGACACAGTTAACGGCACCCTTTTATTCAATACATTTTGAAACCTCCATTTGCCAGTTTAACAGCTCTAAATTTTCTCCTATAATGCCTGATGAGGTTAGAGCACACCTGACAAGAGATCAGAGACCATTCC